CTGCACATGCCCAAGTCTTTGCTGGGCCCAGGATCATAGCCCAGCAGACCCAGGGGATGCGGGAAGGGAGGGCTCCCGCCCGTGACACCCGCAGCGTGGCCATTCTTACCGGCACAGGTGGTCAGTCCGGCACACGCTGCGCAGGTCCAGGCAGTTGGGCTTCTCCTTGTCCTCGTAGGAGCAGCTGGGCAGGATGGTCTGCCGGCGGCGCTCGGCACACGCCTGGTCCTGGCAGGAGCAGAAGAGCATGCGGTAGGTGTACTCGCTGGGCACCCGGTCGAAGAACTGGCGCAGGGCCTTGTGGCACTTGCGGCGGTTGCAGCGCTCGGTGGGCGAGATCTCGCGGTTGCAGATGGAGATGTAGGAGGAGCGCAGCTTCTTGCAGTTCTCATTCAGGTTGCAGGCCTTGGCCGCGTCCAGGCAGTGGTTGCTCTTGGCACTGACCGCCGGGTCCGCCCCGGTCCCTGGACAGGAGGGGAGAGAGGTCAGAGGGCTGCACAGGCCTGGGACACCCCCCCCCCCTCCACCGTGCCTGCTCTCTGAGGACACCTCTCAGCCTTCCCTATGCTCTGCCTCAGCTTCTTTGTCTGTGAAATGGGGCCACCTACCAGGGCCTCCCCTCGGGCGTGGTGAGGGTTAAACAAGGATGGACAGGTCCATGCAGTGCTCGGGCAGCACCTGGCACAGGGTACACACGTGTGGTGAGTACACACGTCCTAGGAGGAGGGCTGTCACTCCAGCATCATATTTAAGACTCATCACAGCAGAAAAGGCGAGCGCTCGGTGTTCGTGCCCAGCTCTGTTCACACGTGTGGGAGATGGGGCAGTGACTGGCTCAGGATCACACGGCTGGGCGGCAGCTAAGCCCAGACGGGACGGGCCCTGAGCACCACAGCAGCACATGTGAGCAGGCTTCCGGCAGGGACACCGCTGGCATTTAGGGGGGCACATTCTCACACGGAGCTTCAGCAGCCAAGGCACAAACAGCACCCCTGCCACCCCTCTCCCCACCACCATGGCCACTGGAGCTGGCCTGCCTCACAGTTCCAATGCCCCACAGCGGGGCGGGGCGGGGCGGGTGCCACCGTAGCTGGTTAGTGACCAGACCCACTAACAAGAAAGCTCTGGGGGGAGCCTGGCAGTGCGAGGTGCGGGCTGAAGGCACGTCCCCGACTCTGCGGGGCTGAGCGCATGAGCAGCCACAGGGCAGACGTGCTGGCTGCTGGGCTCCGGAGTCAGTGCCATGGCTTCGAGTTTCATGCCGCTGCCCGTGGGCACAAAGCAGGATCCCAGCAATCGCCAGGTCCCACCCCACAAGTCTCAGCTGTTCCACGGGGAGCACAGCACAGGGGCCAGGCGGCCTTCACCCCCAGCTACTCCCACCTGCAGAGCGCCTGTCCGTCCTGATGACAGACGGTGTGGGGAGCAGGGATCCGCACCTGCCCCTCAGGTGCTCTGGTGAGAGCGGATGGGCGATCACCTAACCCTGCTTCTTCACTTCACAGGTGGAGACACTGAGGCCCTGAGTGGACAGAGGGCTGGCCACGGTCACCCCACATGCCGGCAGCAAACCAGCGGAGCCCAGATCCCACCACAGAATGCAGAGAACCAGCGGCGTGGGTTTTAAGATGGGCCATATCTTCTCATTCATTCTTCACCCAACAAATGCTTTCTCATCCTTACTGAGCACCACCCCTGTTCTAGGCCCTGCAAGGAGGTGGGAAGGACATGAATGAGGCACCTGACACCACGCCTTTCCTCCCATGGCCCCGCCCCCCTCCTCCCAGGAGCCTGAGCATGGGTCTGAGGTTTTGATCCCTTGGTCACTAGAGAGCACGTCCCACCTCTGCACGGCCCGCCCCTGCCAGGTGCCGTGTTGGATCAGAAGTGTAAGAGGGGCTCCCATTCTCGAGGGCTCATCAGTCCAGCCAGGAAACCAAGGGGCAGGAAACCAAGAGGCAGGCGCAGGCCTAGGAGTCAGACCGAGCCTCTCTATCTGCTCCTGGCCCTGCTGCTCATCAGCCGTGGCCTTGGGCGAGGGCTGTACCCCCCTTTGCTCAGTTTCCCTGTCTACTAAACAGTGCCTGCCTCAGAGCGTTCTGCAGGCATGAATGAGGTCTCTCGTCGTTGTCTCTCACCCGCATGATAATTTTGCCCCATCTGCTAGAACATCCCCATCAGCTATGGCATCGTCCATCTTTAAGGAAACATGGCTAAGCTGCCACCCTATTTTTCTGCTCCCCTTTGAGGCAAACCCTCAAACCAGTCATCTATACCAGCGTCTCCTTCTCCCTTCCCATTCTGTCCTGAACCCATTGCAGGCTGGTGTTTGCCTCACTCCCACCCGTGTCCGTGGTCAGGAACCCTTCGGCCTGCTGGACACAGCCGGTCGCTCCCTCCACCCTCTCCTCATGGCTGCCAATCCTCCTGCTGCCTCCCCGTGCTCCCCCACCTGCTCTGCTGGTCCTGTCTTCTCCACCAGGCTCAGCCCCGCTCTCCCTGCACCCGCTCCCCCGGGCCCTCACAGCCTTAACTGTCATCAATAATTCCCAATCAGACCTCCCCACTGAACCCCAGAATCATGACCACCTGCCTGCTTGCTAGTTCCACCTGAAAGGCTGGCACTGCATCCCAAACTTCACATGCCCCCAAACCAAACCTCGTATGTTCCCCCCAGGCTGTGCCCCCCAGCCCCCGCCCTGTCTCCTTCGTCCCTCTGAAAACGCCGCACCCTTCCAGGGCTCAGGCCAAAAATCTCAGTGCTTCCTGGACTCCTCTCCTCTCTCAGTCACACACTACATCCGAATCCATCCACCTCTCCCCACCACGGCTGCCACCTTGGCCCCAGCCACCACCAGCTGCTGTGGGCTGGGAAGGCTCCTGCCCAGCTCCCCTCCTCTCAAAACCATCCTCTCATCACAGAAGCAAGCGTTCTAGAACCTGAGGCAGAGAAAAGATCCTGGGCCCCGAAGCCCCCAGTGACTTCCCATCTCATTCAGAGGCCTTGGCATGACCTGTGGCCTCTATGCCTGTGATGTCCCACACGAGCCACACGTGGCCACTGAGCTTGAAATGTGGCTCGTTTACAATGAGGTGTCCACACCAGATTTTGAGTACTTTACACAAAAAAGTGTAAAGCATTTCACTAACAATATTTTACTTTGATCACATGTTGAAGTGATAATAGTCTGGAGATACTGCATTAAACAAACATATTATTAATTTCACTTGGCTCAGCCTGTGTGGCTCAGTGGTTGGGCATTGACCTGTGAACCAGGAGGTCACCGTTCGATTCCCAGTCAGGGCACCTGCCAAGTTTCAGGCTTGGTCCCCCGTGGGGGGTGTGCAGGAGGCAGCCAATCAATGATTCTGTCTCATTCATGTTTCTATCTCACCCACTCTCTTTCTCTCTCTGAAATCAATAAACACAGATCTTTTTAAAAATAAGTTAAAAATTAAATAACTTCACCTGTTTCTTTTTACTTTTTAATGTGATATTAAAAAATTTAGAATTACGAATGTGACATATTATACAGGATGAGGCAAAAGTAGGTTTACAATTGTTCAACAGAAAATAACACAATAATCCTATATAATAAAAGGCTAATATGGAAATAGATCGAACGACGGAACAACCAAACAACCAGTCGCTATGATGGGGGCGCCAGAACATGGGCAGCAGGCGGCAGAGCATGGAACATGGCGGGCATCGGCCGCGGCAGGATGGTGGAGCAGGTGAGCGGGAGCACCAGACCAAGGAGGGGCACCAGCCACTGTCATCGGGGTGAGCCTCTGGTGGTTACTGAAAATTCTTTGCTCCCGCACACTGTGGTCCCACCCGGTGCTTGCACCGGCTGCTGGCACTTGCCCTGCCAGCACCCACTGCCAGCACCCGCCCCGATCACTCGGCACCATCAGCAGGTACGAGCGGTGGCTGCTGGCCCTGATCGCCCCTAAAGGTTTCTCGACCTCCCCCTGCTCCTGAAAGGCGATTGCACCCACTGACGGTGCAGGCCCCAATCGCTCAGTACCGTCAGCTGGTGAGAGTGGGGCTGGCGCCATCAGTGCAGGAGCAGCGGCCTACTGACAGACAGGGAAGGGTGGGGGCATGGAGGATGGGCCAAGACCTGCCCCTGTGCCCACGGCAGCTTCTTGGCCCACAGTTCCTTTCAAGGTGCACAAATTCATGCCCTGGGCACCTAGTTAATAAATAAGAATATAAGAATAAGCTCTGTGCTTTGTGTACTCACAGCTATAAACCTACTTTGGCCCCACCCTGTATTTCTAGTAGCCAACGGTGCTCTATGACCTTATCTCCTACTCCTTCCCCTGCTCACTTACTCCATCCGTTCCAGCCCACTGGTCTCCTTGGTGTTCCTGGAACTGCCCTGACCTCAGGGCCTTTGCACTCACTGCTTCCTCTGTCTGGAAAGGTCTCCCCCACCCCCATGACCATTCCTCACTTCTTTAAGGCCTCTGCTCAGATGTTACTCTATCTGTGGGTCGTTCCTGATACATAATAACAAGTCACTCCCTTCCCCAACTCTGATCTGTTTCCCCACAGCACTCATCACACCTGCCTCAGTGTGGGCTGACTTCCTCATCTGTTTGTATCAAATATAAGCTCCATGAAGGCAGCGGCTTTGTCCGTTGTGCTCACTGTACCGTATCCATATTTCCCAGCACATGAGGCATGGTGGGTGCTGAATGAGCATTTGATGAGTGAAAAACTGAATGTACTGAGAACAGTATCTAGTTCACAGTAAGTGTTCAGAGAGTGTCGGTTAACGTTACTAAGGAAGCCCAGCTGACCGAGGGCCGGGAGCAGTGGTCCATACGTGACCATGTGTGATCAAGTGCCAATGTGGAGCCCAGCCCAGAGGGCTCAGAAGAGAAAGTCAGGGTCAGTCGGTGAAGACGAGCCATCACCCCCACACCCTGCCTCACGGCCAGCAGCCCTGCAAAGGCAGACAGAGCAAACTCCCTCTCTTCTTGTCAAAACAGAAGGAGAATTAAGGCAGGAAGGGAATCAAGGTTTGTTTTCCTACTCATTCGATTAACAAATCCTTATTGAGGGCCTACTATGTGCTGGCATTTCCCCAGAGACACAGATGGACACAGAGGAACGGGCCGTGGGTGGAGGAAGTCAGAGAGGAAAGCGTCCTGCCCAGACCAGGGTCAGAGGAGCAGTGGCATCCCTGCTGAAACCTGCGGGATGAGTCAGAGGGAGAAGAGAGAGAGGAAGGGGGTCCCAGACAGAGGGAGCTGACAGCACTCAGCTCCTGGAGGTGGAGACAGAAGGAGGGAGCAGCAGAGAGGACTCTGGAAGTTGAGCAGTGCCTTTCCATTCACAGTGGGGCATGGGGCCCCCCTAGCAGTTCCCTGAGCTGCTGCCAAACCATTCTGCCCCCGCCAGGCAAGGACCAAGGGTGCCTGTCTACACAAAGGCCACTCTGGAGGCCTG